TGCTAAGTATGAGTTTAATGCTGTCATATTGATGCCTGTTTTTGTGTGTTGTTCACAGTTTCCTTGTTCCACTTAATTTTCTGTGCCGAGTTTTTTTTTCTGTATTTTCTTTGCATCTTTTTCATTGTTGTTGATACTGTGTCTGCTGAGTCTTTATATGTTTTTCTTAGTTTTTTATTTTGACTTGTAGGATTGTTAGTTTCCTTTGTGGTTACTATTTGCCCCTATTTTTCTGAGTTTATACCAGTCTTTTATTTCTTTATATCGCCTTGACTTCCTCTTCATATGAAAAATCTATATCTACATTTTTTAAGTCCCTCTTTTCTGTTTTAATGTTGTCATCTTTTACATACTGACATCTTTTTCCCTATTTTCAGTGCTTTAGCTGATTTACTTTTGTGACCTCCCTTTCTGGGTTGATGTCTGGTGGCTCTGTCCTGTGTTCTAGTCTTGGGTTGTTATCTGATGTTACTGATTTTCTAACCGGAGGACTCCCTTTAGTATTTCTTGTAATTTTGGTTTGGTTTTTGCAAATTCCCTAAACTTCTGTTTATCTGGAAATGCCCGAACTTCGCCATTATACTTGAGAGACAGTTTGACTGGATATATATAATTCCTGGCTGGCAGTTTTTTTCCTTCAAGGCTTTATATATGTCATCCTATTGCCTTCTTACCTGCATGGTTTCTGCTTGGTAGTCCGAGCTTATTCTTATTGACTCTCCTGTGTAAATGACTTTTCGTTCACCCCTAGCTGCTCTTAAACTTCTCTCTTTATCTTTGGTTTTGGCAAGTTTGATTAGAATATGTCTTGGTAATTTTCTTTTGCGATCTAACTTATATGGGTTTTGATGAGCATCTTGGATTGGTATCTTGTCAACTTTCATGGTATCAGGGAAGTTTTCTGCCAAAGTATCTTCAGCAATTCTCTCTGTATTTTCTGTTATCCCCCCCCATTCTAGTACTCCGATCACTCGCAGGTTACTCCTCTTGATAGAGTCTCACATAATTCTTAGGATTTCTTCATTTTTTATTTTTAAACCTTTTATCTGATTTTTCCTCAAATAAGTTGGTGTCAAGTGCTTTATCTTCAATCTCACTAATTCTGACTTCCACTGCCTCAATTCTGCTCCTATGACTTTCTATTGAGTTGTCTTATCCTGAAATTTTATTGTTAATCTTCTGGATTTCTGATTGCTGTCTCTCTATGGATTCTTGCAGCCTGTTAAATTTGTCATTATGCTCTTCTCTAATCTTTTTTATTTCTTCTGTTGTGTGTTCTGCATTTTGCTTAATTTCCTTCCTTATTTCTTAGAGTTCTGTATATTAATCTTTTGTATTCTGCCTCTGATAATTCCAAGAGATTTTCCTTCTCTGGAAAATTTCTAGATTCTTTATTTTGGGAGCTTGCTGAAGCCATCATGGATTGCCGCTGTATGTGATTTGATATTGACTGTTGTCTCAGAGCCATCAATAAGTTATTATATACATTTATTTTATGTTTGCTTTCTGTGTCCTAGCTTCTTGTTTTGTTTTGATATGCCCAAATAGGCTGCTCTTATGAACTAGTTGCATTATTCGCATCTTTGAAGCTCTACTCTCCTGTCACCAGGTGGTCAGATCTATTACTAAGTATGTGAGCTCAGGAGTCCGCCCACTCCTCTTGTATGGATTCAGCTCGGGTGCCCAGGTAGATTGCCACCAAGTGTGTGGTGTAGGCTCTCACTTACAGTCCTAAACAGGCAAGTGTGACTGATGTAGGCACAGGCATCTGGCTGCAGCAGGGGTACACACTCTGAGCAAGGCAAGGGGCTGATGGCTGTCCCCGAATGTCCAGGAGGAAGGCGTGTCCCTCTTCCCTAGAGCGCGCAGGTGGGTGTGTTTTGCAGCTGGACTATGAACACCTAATGCTGTTGGCTGTAAGGACTGGGGGGCACCTCTTATTCTTGGGCTTCTATTGCAGGTGGCTAGGTGGCAAGGGTGGAGCCACCAGTCCTCAGTCCCCTGATGTGGGTAGGTGAAGACCGTGCTTCATGGGCAGAGCAGTGTCAAATGTCAAGAACCTGCCACTTCACAGCTCAAACAGTTGAAGTTAGAGTTCCAGTACATACCGCTGTACTGCGGTAATGAGGGCCTACACTGTTAAGATGGGCCCACACAAGTCTATGCATGGGGAAAAGCACTCAAAGTCCGTGGATCCCTTATGCCTGTGCCTAGGCAAAGGAGCTGTGCCTACCCTGGGTTCCTGGCTTACGGGAGCCGGCAGTTTATTTTTTCCCCGTTTGTTAATCTGTTCACTCTCCAAGGCAGGGAGAATGGCTCCGGGCATGTGATGGATCCTACTTACAGCCCAGGGGACTTGGCAATTGCTGAAGCCGGTTCCATATCCAGTGCGGAGCAGGGAGGTAAATGGGTGCAAGGTTTTTCCCTAAAGGGGGTATTTTTGATCCGTGCAGTAGGCAGTACGCAATTACTTATCTTTCGCAGGATCGAGGGCGGCTTCTCACTGGTTCTGGATGGCTGAGTAGACTCTCAGCGGCTGGGTCTCTCCCGATGAGGAAAACGTGCCTCCTGAGTACAGCTGCTTGCCTGCCTCACTGCTCACTCCCAAGCTGATCAGGCCTGAAGGGCTCAGACTCTCGCCACGTCAGGTCTATCAACTCCTCGCTGCTTCCAAACCGTCTCTCCCTCCCCCTGCCACTCAGTCCAGTTCCTCAACTCTGCCTTTGATGTTCAGGGCTCCAAGACTGCCATATATAGCTGAATCACTTGTTTTTTCGGGTCTTTGTTGTAAAAGGGTCCATAGGAAGCGTATGACTACTCTGCCATCTCGGCCTCACCTCCTTTCTTAAATAAATGTATCTTCTAACTTAATAAGAAGTACTCAATATTTTTAATTATTAGGAATCATTTTAGTGTATTTTCTCTAGTTGTATATAAACACACAGACTTCAATTACAATTTTTCTGAGTTCTGTTTTATCTGAATCCATTAGATATAACTCCTTGGTACAAAATAAATACATTTTAGCACAGCAGTTCTCAAAATATGATTAAGAATCCCTAAAGGCCCCCCACGTTCCTTCGGGAGGTCCACGATATCAAAACTCTCTTAATAATATTAAGCTGTTACTTGTATTTTTCATTCTCATTCTCTCACAAGTATTCAGTGGTATTTTCTGAGGGCTTATTGATCTGTGGTATCTCAAGAGATTAAATTCAGAAGCAGATACAAAAATTCAAGTATCTTCTCTGAATACAGATGCTAACGAGATTTACAAAAGTCTAGAACAATCCAACTCTTCACGAAATTAATTTCTCTAAAAAATGTTATTTATGTTAACTTTTAATGGACTTATGAATTGGTAAGCAGTTTTAAATTTCTGAACTTTACTTTCTAATATGGTAAATATCCACACATAAACAAAAGCCCCTTGGAGTTCTTAATAATTTTTATGTAAAGGAGCCCTGATTCCAAAAAGTTTGAGACTACTGCTTTCTCATGTTGTTAAATCCTTAATACTTTTCAAAGCTTAATCAAAAATTAAAGCTAGTAACTTTGAGGTATGCAATTAAAAAACTTACCTGCTTTGCTAATGGGAATAATTTATATTGTTTTATATTACATTTACGTTTCAGAGATAAACTACTTCAGCGCAATGAATAACTCAATTTTTAAGTTTGTTTGCTATAGACAGGATGCACCAAAGTTCAATGTTACTGTGCAAGGTACTATTAAAGACAAAGGGGGTAGGTGGGAATAAATATATAATCTCTGCCCAAAAGAAATTTATAACCCATAGGGGAAGATATAATTGCTCTTAACTATAACACTGTTCTACGTGGAGGTAGTGACACAGCATTTGAGCTACATTCCAAACAATGAATAAAATTTCAATAAGTGAGAAGTAGCTGGAAAACACACACCAGCACTACAGAAATAGAAAATGCTTAAAAAGAAGTTTATATTTTTAGGGAACAGTAGTTAGATCACTGAAGTTCAAAAACTGTATATAGGAGAGAATAAAAAGGCCAAATAAAAAAGGCAGCTAGAGCAAAATGTGGCTAAGGGTTGAAAAATCAGGCTCAGTTTGGATATTATTATATACACAATAGAGAGCCATCAAAGGTTTTTAAACTGGAAAAAGATTATACAAAATCTATGATTACAAAAATATTTAGTTAAAAAATTGATTTGAGGAAGGATATACAGACAAGGAGATTAAATAGATTACTGCAGTAGACAATGCTGGGAAAGACCGAGTAGCACAGAGGCATCAAGAATGAAAAGGAGATAAATAGGTAGAAATTGATGACACAGCTTTATATAGATGTCAAAGTAAGAAAGCTAGGGATTTGGTCATAGTGTTCATTAAAGCACAGCTCAATACAATTCATACTGTTAATGTTAGAAAACCCAGGGGAAGGACAGTATTTACCCTCTTCAATACTAGTGGCACAACAAAATTTAAAATGAAATGGAAAATGCTTTGTGAAGGGAGTAACAAGTTTTCAGGAGCCATTTAAGAAAAATGAAAGAATATGTAAGCTAAAAGTGAGATACCACAAGGTCAAAGCCAAGACTGTAAAAACAAAACAAAATTTAAAAAAACAGAGGGAAGAAAAAATTATGTGCAATTTCCCCCATTACACAAAGAAGTCAAAAGAAACATAATAAACCTAGAATCAGGAAGTTGATCTTATAGATTAAACAAGGGGGTAAGGGAAGGGAAAAGCACACAGGGATGTTACAGGTTTAGAAGGTCTATGTCAAGTGAAATAACTATGTTTGTTTTTTATGTGGCTATATGGCGGTAGGGAAGGGCTCTAGAAACAGGAAAAGAGTTTTAGAATGCCATACAGCTAACCGACACTGAGATTTACTGTAATGTAAACTACCAGCAAGACATTAAAGGCTTATCAATAGGACTGAATATATTTAAGTAAACTGACACTTCCCCAAAATGACAAAATTCTGTCAGCAAAGACATTGAGCAGACTTACAGTGTTGTAAAGTTCTTCCAGTCTAGGAATAGTAAGGAATTTATGCATGCTTACTCCATTTTCAATAAGAAGTTTTACAAATGCAACTCTATCCATTACAAGAGCATCTAGCATAGCTTGTTCCAAGGATCCAACCTAAAAAAAAAAATCAGAATTAATAAATATATTGTTAAAGTTTTAATTACAAAAATACTTCTAAATGACAAGTCCTTAGGATTTATACCTATTTGATCCTGAACAGTTTTAGAACAAAATTAGAAAGATGGAAAAGAGTAAAAGACAGGACTTAAGACGTAAGGATAGATGAAAATACCTGTCTAGGGCAGCATTCCCAAAAAGCATTCCATAAACATTATTTCTGTAGGAGAACAAATGCTACACGGAAACAACAAAAACATCCATCATCAAGTAAATTTGGGGAAAAAATTCCTTAAAGCAATGGCTCGTAAATCTGTAGAAAAGCTTTTTGGGAGAGACTGTTTCAATAACTGGGGCCTGTTACTGACATTTAATGGGGTCCAGAAATCCACAAATCATACAATATGCTGGACAATTCCACAACAAAAAGAAACTGTCCCACATATCACACAGTTTTCTACTATACTGTTAGATGCTCATGAGTGAAAAATCTGTAATTCAGTTTTACATATAAACACAAAGTATCCTGACAGTTTTGTTATAAACGGTATTTTCAAAAAATACAATTAATCACATAAGCTAGGTAAGATTATAACTAGCTTTCTTTGGAACTTTGGAAGAAACTGTTCAACGTTAGACAAAATTGTATCTCTGAAAACAAAACATCTGTATCAGTCAGCATTAGTAGCTGTCTCTTGCAAAATTTTAGACTCCTTCACAGAATGTCAACAGATTCAAAATCAAATACTGTTAAAATAGTGGAGACACATGAAATGTACGGATTCCACTGCATATCAATAAAGGTAGCTATAATACTATTTCATGCTGTTGCTTCTATAATATTTTAACTTTGGTACCAAATGCTAAAAAATCTTTGTGATAAAAGTCAACACCTTAATTTTTTTTGCCTGTTATTTTTCAATCTTATTCTGTTCTGTGTTCAGAGATTATCACACAACTATAAAACTGCTCTACAGCAGCTTATAATATCATTTCCTGCTTCAATCTACCTTCTAGTCCTCATCACCTAACAAAAGATATGGTCTCCAACATCTTTTTAAGTATACAGACTAAATTTATATCTTACTGTGTCACAGGATTTCAAGATGAGAGGTATGTTTTCTGTGATATTTTTCATTACTCTGTTCTGTGTTATAACTGTATATATATATTTGACATTACAGTTAAAAATAAAGCCAAATTTTATATTTTCACCAAAAAAAAAAGGTCCTCCAAGGCCAACAAGGGAGCACGTTGACATGTCATGGGGTGGTTACCCAATGTCATACAACAATACGTGTACTGACTGTTTAATGAGAAAACATTTGTTCTGTAAACCTTCACCTAAAGTACAAAAGCTAGAAAATAGAAATACCATATGATCCAGCAATCCCGCTCTTAGGAACCTATCCCAGAGAAATAAGAGCCGTCACATGAATGGACATACGCACACCCATGTTCATGGCAGCATTGTTCACAACAGCAAAAAGATGGAAACAACCTAGATGCCCATCAACAGATGAAGGGATAAACAAACTATGGTACATACACACAATGGAGTATTATGTAACGATAAAGAACAATGATGAATCTGTGAAGCATCTCATATAACATGGATGAAACTAGAGGACATTATGCTGAGTGAAATAAGTCAATCACAAAAGGACAAATATTGTATGAGACCTCTATTATAAAAACTCATGAAAAGTTTACACACAAAAAGTAACAATCTTTGTCAGTTACAAGGGATGGGAGGGGTGGGGGGAATACTAAATAAGCAATAGATAAGCTGTAACTTTGCTGATGGCTAAGACAGTACACAATACTGGGGATGCCAGCACAACTTCTACAAGGAAAGGTCATAGAAGCTCCATGGACACTTCCTAACTCCCTGAGGGACTGAACTGCTAGGTGGAGGGATGTGGAGAACACGGTCTCGGGGAACATCTAGCTCAACTGGCATAACACAGTTTATAAAGACATTGTTCTACATTCTACCTTGGTGAGTAGTGTCTGGGGTCTTAAAAGCCTGTGAGCAGGCATTTGGGAGGACTCCGGCAAGACG